TCGCGCTGGACCCAGACCCCCCACTATTGTAAATCAATTTATGAATTATATCCAATTTATGAGTTTGTAGGAGCTTTTCATGTCGCAAACACAAAATTTCAGAGCTGGTTTAAATCACTAGGAATATAAAATTTATTATGGGGTGGCCGAGTCTACTTGGATTCAGGAGGGCACTGATTGGAATTACTTTTTGTTAATTAAATTTTATACTGGAATTACGAGCTATTTAACCTCCATTAACTTGGGCCCCCCACCAACGGTAAAAAAATCTATCTTATTCTAAAAATTAGTTCTAAATATGTGCTAATTTGTTACCGTATTCAAAATTTTGTTGCTCAAATAAAACGGCCGTTTTTTAAAAAATTAGTGGGCCAGCTTAATATAAACTGGACCCACCCAAAAAAAAAAAGATTGGGGGGAAAAAATCGGGCGAATGTCACGCAGAAATTTGTTGCTAATTTGTTGCTGTAAAGTAACAATAACTATGACATTCAATTCGCAAAGAAAAGTGGTTTATTCTTGTACCGAAGGTTATTACATTATACATTAAGGGTTACTTTAAAGGGCTAACACCATTAAATGATTTGAGTTACAAAAGGATTCGTTAGAAGATCAATAACTATTATATTAATGATTTTCAGAAAATTAAATCAAAAGTAATAATTACTCTCTGACAGCGCTACAACATTATTCGCCATGAGCACGTCAACCGACTGGAACGCACAATTCAAATTGAATCACCTAAATATTTTGTTTCTAAAGTAGTTATTACCTACAATTGTTCATTCCATTGTATTTAACAATAGTTAATGCAAAACCAAATTTGTTACTGACTATAAACAATAAAAAAATAGGCGAAAATGGCTCCGCCCGTAGACAGAAAGTATTTTTCTCTGATACCGCGCACGTGACTTTTTGGATATTTTTAAAGACATAGATATTTACGAGATTTTTACAACTTAGTTTCGGCGAATCTAATCCCTTTCTGTCAATCAGCATTTATCCTACTTTACCATTCCCAAGAATTTTGAACGTAGTTTTACAACCCAACTTGCCCTTTTTCGAATCGTTGAACTGTATTTTATAACTTTCCCAGAATTGCACCTTATTGTCCCTGTTTATCCCAAGGCACATTTTTCATTTGTTGTTACTAAAATTATTCATTACCCTGTAGTATGTAAGTAATAACGAATTGAGCAACAAATTATTTGTGCACATTAAAAGAGAAAATACTCTCGGTCTACGTGGGGTATCATTCTTACCTATTTTTTATTGTTTATAGTCAGCAACAAATTCGCATTTACATTAATTATTGTTAAATACAATACAATGAACAATTGTAGGTAATAACAACTTGAGCAACAAATTATTTGTGCACATTAAAAGAGAAAATATTCTCGGTCTACGAGCGGTGCCATTTTCACCTATTTTTTATTGTTTATAGTTAGCAACAAATTCGCATTTACATTAATTATTGTTAAATACAATACAATAAACAATTGTAGGTAATAACAACTTGAGCAACAAATTATTTGTGCACATTAAAAGAGAAAATACTCTCGGTCTACGAGCGGTATCATTCTCACCTATTTTTTATTGTTTATAGTCAGCAACCAATTCGGATTTACATTAACTATTGTTAAATACAATGGAATGAACAATTGTAGGTAATAACTACTTTAGAAACGAAATATTTAGGTGATTAAATTTGAATTGTGCCTTCCAGTCGGTTGACGTGCTCATGGCGAATAATGTTGTAGCGCTGTCAGAAAGTAAACATTACTTTTGATTTAATTTTCTGAAAATCATTAATATAATAGTTATTGATCTTCTAACGAATCCTTTTGTAACTCAAATCATTTAATGGTGTTGGCCCTTTAAAGTAACCCTTAATGTATAATGTAATAACCTTCGGTACAAGAATAAACCACTTTTATTTGCGAATTGCATGTCATAGTTATTGTTACTTTACAGCAACAAATTAGCAACAATTTCTGCGTGACATTCGCCCAATTTTTGCACGCAATCTTTTTTTTTTTGGGTGGGTCCAGTTTATATTAAGCTGGCCCCACCCACTAATTTTTTTAAAAACGGCCGTTTTATTTGAGCAACAAAATTTTGAATATGGCAACAAATTAGCACATATTTAGCACTAATTTTTAGAATGTGTTGGATTTTTTTTACGGTTGGTGGGGGGGCTAAGTTAATGGAGGTCATAAAAATAAAGAGTCACTTGCTTAGCTACTCCATGTATAGTTGTGGATAATTGCAAGTGGTTGCCACGTTCAGTAATTAGAGAGAAGCAAAAGTATTGCATACTAATCGACAAAAAAACCTGTATGCTTATACGCACAGCGTAAATCCGACGTTGATAGATGTTTTCATCATGCGGACATAAGCGTCTTGGGTACTTGAGCTTTGTCTTATTCCCAACAAATGCAAAAACCAATTGGGGATCTATGGATCACACCAAACAACTGAATTTTCTCAATAAAAATCAGTCCCTAAATATTTTCTTTTTACCCACGTGAAAGTATCGTCCAAAACCTATCAGCAAGAATATAACTCCGCCCCTTTTTTCATGCAATGTTGCCGACTTTCTCAGTTACGCTTATAAAAATCGATTTGATTCCTGTTAATAAAGACACTGTGATATGCCAAATTCTACAAAGTGAAATGTAAAGTATGGTCCTATGGTACCGGATCTTGTATGTGGAGGATGGCTCCCCACCGGACGCGCCCCCAGGTGGCGGATTGGGAGATGGCCCTGTGAATGATCGTATGAGACACAGGGTTAATGCGGAAATAGGCAAAGCTATTAGAGGCATCCAATACCGCATCGAAGACCCCCTACCTCGCCCGGACGTTAAATGTATAACGGCGCCATCATGTTACTGATCTACTTCAAATCAACCATGACGGGAAACTATACGTCAGAAGGTCGTCTGTCGTCATGTCTCACAGACCTGAGGATGTGGGGGGTCTTGGCTTAAGTGCCCGGATCAAGAGGAGTCAACCTCATTTTTTTAAAATCTAAGTCCAAGGTGGCACAGCTTACACCAACAGGCTAAATGATCGGCATCTAGTAAATAAATTCTGGGGCCCAGGGGGCTCTGGGGTAGGTGACCGACTTTTCTCCAATTCTCGTGGGACTCGCATGGAAGAATCCGAAAAAATATCACAGTGGGTGCCCCTCTAAGTGAATCAACCATAGGACCATTCTCTCCGGACAACAACAACGAGAGCACAGAGCGTATCCTTGGTTTGTTGCAGAAGCAGAATACCGGCTTCAACACCAAGAAATGCCGAGTGCTTAAGAAATACACAGTGAGCACCAGGGAAACATTAGAGCTCCTCATGAGCGCTCACTTTCCAGGCTCACAACAAGTAAACGCTTCTCTTCAACAAAGCAGAAGGCCTGGTAAGACCTCACTCCAGCGTTAAAAGCGAAGCCTCAAAAATCGTCACACAGAAGAGGGTAGAATGGGTCCCAATGACGTGGCAGGAGGTAAATGTAGTGTTCATTCCAAAAGGATCAAGACACTCAATCGACATGCCCAAGATGTATAGACCTCAGGCTCACCTCGCACGAAGCCAATGGAAACAATGGCCACACCTCCACAACAATAGGCTGGATAAGGTCCGTGTTGAGGAGCGGGAAGATAACGGCAAGGCTAGGCGAGAAGTCAGGCACATTGGTGACCAAAAGAGGGTGCCCTCAACGAAGGCGGGGGTCCTACTAAGCATGGTAACACAAAAAGGTTACTGCAAGAGTATGCAGACGATCTGGCTATAATAATCTCTGGTAAACACGATACAGTCCGATCAAAACGGTGGTGGTGCCTTTTACCAGAAGGAGGAAGCCCAACATAATGTTACCTGGGGCACCACCATCGATCTTAGTAAAGAGGTCAAATACTTGGGAGTGAACCTTGACCAGAGACAATCATCAGGCCCATGGTCACATATGGTGCAGTCATATGGCCAAAAGTTAAGCAAACAATTGCACAAAACAGCTGGAGCATATATAGGTACTAAAGGCTAGCCTGCTTAAATATGACAGGAGCCATGAGCACCTGTCCCACAGTTGCTATGGAGGCACTGCTTAGTCCTTGCACCTCTCCACTTAAAACGCAGGCGATGGGAAGCGTTATAGCACTGCACTGAACCAAAACGTTCAAACTGGGCAAACTAGTACTACACCTAGCAATTCTTGAAGAGAGTCCCCATCGGACATCAAGTCGATCAAGTCCAGCTTAGGGGTACCACATACTGTCAACACAAAGGATGATTGGGAAGAAAACAAGCCCACTTTTAGGAAAGGCTCTATGCAGTGAGACACAGGCGGATCAAAACAAAAACAAGGTAAAGCAGGGAGAGGGATCAGTCCCAAAACTGCCGAATCTCGGAATCACTGGGACAAAAGGCCACCGTCTTTCAAGTGCAGGTCTATGCCATAAATCTCTGTGCGCTCATAAACCTAGAAATGGTTAAGGAGGCGAAAATAGGCATCCTTACAGACAGTCAAGGTGCACCGAGGGCGTTAGTAACCCGTACCTGACTCCAAACTAGTCTTGGAGTGCATCTCCAATCTAAATAAATTGGCAACTGGCAACCGTATCACACTATGGTGGGTGCCAGAGCATTCAGATATTGCACGCAACATAAACTGGCTAAACAATCAATAGGGTCGGACTGTGGACTGCACAAATGTCGCATAAAAGAAGCTCTAAATCAGTGGGAGGGGATGAATAGAACCCATGGCAAAAGGTACCCGGACACCGACAGGTCAAAATATTGATCAAGGCCACGTTACAAAAAGCCAAGGAAGCTTCAACCCTCAACAGGAAGGACCTACAGCTTAACGTTTCTTTTTCATTGAATTTACGCGCCATTTTATGAAAATCAAAAATAAACAGTACGTCAATGATCAGCCTTCGTATGTTTTGACAGCGAGACAGCGACTGACGCCAACATGTTGAGAGTTTGAGACGTTGCCTGCAATACGCTGGCGCGGGTGTACGCTGGACTCGCACGATCCCAGTGTGAGACTGGCGCCAGCTACTGAATCTTTCCGGTGCGGGCGTACATACAATAGGAACTAATTCATAATTTTGGGATTTATTCGAAATTTTTCCGGTACTGCCATGAAGTTGGGCGTGAATTTTCGGAAGTGGATTTTCTGGAAACGGCATGGGTACAATGGAAACGAGTTTTGGTACGTTGAATTCAGAACCAAGCACACTGGTTTATTTTCAAGCCGCCAACTTCACGGGAGCCGTTTTTAGAGATACGCCAACTTCAAGGAGGAATTTTCGTTTCCCTTGTACGCCTTCAATAGTTTTTTCCTATAATTAGTCTCGAGTAATGAATTCAATAAAGAAAGCTATGATTCAATATTAGATTAAAAGATCGCTCCAAGGTTATGAAGTCACCTTGGATCGCTACACGCCAAATCTCCTCAAGATCAAAGTTTTTTCATACCCAATAACCGAGTAACTATACTATACAGCACTGCGGTTTTTACGCAGTTGGTATATAAGAATTGACTCGCCAGTTTAAAGATACGCCATCTTCAAGAAGAAATTATGGAAACAATGTGTGAGATAATACTCAAAAACCTAGATAAAGCTGTTCGGTCCTTCTGGGTTATGATTTGGCAAAGTGTGGAACTTTTGGCGACGTACCGAAGGTAATGGCAATTTTTAAATAATAAAGTAAAGTATTTAAACAATGGTAATGGTTTGAACCATTTCTTTATTCCGCTTCCTCTACAAGAGGTGACCAAAACATCCAGTTAGGGAACATTAAAAAACTGTGAAATTTGATGATTTCAGTGCAACTCCAGCAGGATTCAACATAAACTGCCTCACGAGTTCAAGCTACTCTAACAACGTGCACCAATCAACCATGAATTACCCCTCGCTCGGCGTGTCGCCCAATTACGCTGCAATAAAAATAATGCGTGTAAGAAAAAATAACCAAGTGGGAGCTAACCTGGCTTTTAAAGAGCACATAAATCTACGCGAACGTTTTGTCACTTTTCCAAAGAAATCTTTGGATTAATGAAAATGTTACGCAGTGGTCCTCTTAAGATACACCAATTGAAGGCAATCGTCCATCAGCTACGTATACGCAGACAAACGGTCAAACGATTTCTTTAAAGCTTTCGTACAAAAGTATTGCAAGAAAGAACAAATTATCTGCATCAATGTAAACAAAATAAATGCCACTTCTCGTTTACTGCTTCTCATGTCAAATCACGTAATTATTTAACGCAGTTAATTTTCGTTCAATTATCTACACCGGATATGCCTAAAATTGAGAAGTGCAAACGGCTAAAAAAACGTAAACAAAATATAAACAAATAAATTCAAATTTACACATGTTCGTACGCTTTGAAGCGAAAACCGCCTCTAAAGAAAAGATCAGTTTAGGTCGTCGTGATAACAAGCCACACAAATCTAGGCTCTATTGGCGTCCATTACTTACCTTTTCTCGAATAATTCTCCGTTAATACACAAGTAAAATGGAAACGGGTTAACGAACAGAAACACGCCAACGTTTTTTAACACATTTCATAACTCCCGACGCGAAATGCTCGCTGCTAACGCGTATATTTTAAATTAAATATGGCAGTTGAAGCGCGACTTTGTACGCCATTGCAAAACAGCACACAAACGCAGAGTCTTTGAGGTTTATTTCGAATTACGCATGCGCCTCTCTCATCGGATTGGTACGCAGATGTAAACTGCAATAAATTGAAATTCGTGGGGATGCCTCGTAATTTGCGCACTTTTCAATTGTTGCACATTAAAAATTATTCTGTTGGGATTTTGGTCCGTTTGTCTCTGTGAAGACATTTCCGGGGATTTGCGACTGTCCCAACTCGGATTTAAATTGTACCAGCCGCGAAAAGCAATTTGAACAACTGAATGACAATCGTGCCTACTTACATGACATGTATCGACCCATTTGCGATAATAACAAGAATGGCCCGAGATTCTTTACACCTGATAGTGATTTTGAAAGGGTGTTGTTGCTGTTAGCCTATTACTGTAGAAAGTCCTATGCCTAATTTTCACCACTTTCACGTTCTTCAACCAAATTTTACTGCTGGAAACCTCATGCAAAATATGTTGTCTGCTTCTCCCTCGGCTTGTCCTATTCATGCGATCGGTACACATTTCAATAGAATATCGAACATGTGTGACATTCACTTCTCATTCACGAACAAATCACTTAAGTACCTTGGTCATAAATTTTTTTTTTGTTTACAATTATACTTGTACTTCCACTTCTCTTTTTGTTAAATTTATTACCTAATATACCTTGTCTGTTTTTTTCTGTTTTATATAAAATGCGCCTTAGCTTAGTTAGAAAATGGATCTGTAATTGGGTGAATTACAATCAACGACAATGCTTCAAATTGAAAAGTTTCAATTTTACGTAATTGCAACCCTCCACATCAACATAAATAAAGTTCATTTGTTCGCACAAGGCATCTAACAACACGTCGGTTTGTCGTGTCAAAAGATTTTTAACGCATAAGATTTTCCCTTTTCAGTAGGGAAATTTTTTGACACTCAGCTCGCATTCGGAAACACGACTTTTAATTCGGCTCATATTCAATAGCACTGATCCTTGAACGCGTAGAAATCGAATGGCGAAGGTTTGACAAGGATGTCTCTTTTCGTTCTCGAATTGGACGAGGAACACACAGACAGTTGAGCGGACAAAACCATCACGTAAGGGGAATTTCTTTCGAAAAATTCCCCTAAAAAGGTAGAAATCATTCGGCAATTGTCGCATTCGCCCTGCATTCCAATATCTTGTGCAAGTGACACTCAAGGCCATCGAGAGCCACAGCGGGGCCCGGGGTAAGTTAACTGCGAGGTTAACTGCCCGGGGCCCCTGATGTTAGATTTAAAATACCTATATTCATAAGATTACTAGGATAACTTTATTTCCATATGTAAGTAAAAAGAAGTAGTAATGTGTATGTATAATACATATGTATTTAACGCACATGCAGAGGGTGTCTCAAGTCCCGTTACGAAGCTATAAGTTTTAAACGGAAAAATCTGAAAATTTAGAGATCAATAGAACGTCATAAAAATGGTTGATAAAACTTTCATACAATTGAGAGTTTTTCAGAGTGAGATAATCCCAAAATTTTAAATTATGCGCCCCTGTCGAATTTCAACTTACAAAGTTTTGTAATTTTACAGTTTGTAGGTACCGGTAAGCGCGTTAAGTGAATAGGTAGTCGTAATACATTTATGATAAAAAAAACTGGATAGCAATCATATCGAAAGTACAACGGCTGCGGGGCCCCCCGGGCGTTGGGGCCCAGAGCATCTTGCCCCTACTATCTTTTGCACCTCTTTTTCGACGACCCTGGTGACACTTACACAGATGTGTACACCTATACTTAAATTACATACACATCCACATTCTAACATCTACAGATCAATCCCCCTAGTTTCTCGGGGGTAAGGAAAAATTGGCTCTTTTGGAAAAAAAATGGCTCGTTCGATACACGTTATGTTCAAAACTTAATCCAACACAACAGGACAAAGGACTTCGAGGACGAGCCGCAGGGCTGCAGGCACGTAGATGCCATGTGATCGGCTATTTGATAGGGCGTAAATGTATTACGTTGCATTTTTCTTTACGTATAAATGCGAAATATTATATTTTGCCAATGTTTCCCAAAGTTTCCAATTTTTTCAGTTTTTTTTTCTAACAGACCAATTTTTCGGAAAATGTTGAAACACCACCCCAAAGTATAAAAAAAAGTTTCGCACTCTATCATTTGTAACCCTCATTCACATTGACAATAACTATCTCCAGAAAAATTGCCCATTTACAGTCCGTCTAAACCCTGGTCTAAACTAACCTAATAAATGTTAGAATCTGAAACCTTTTGTCCAAGGGTGCAATATGATTTTTTCGAATATTTTTTTTATACTTTGGGGGGTAGACTTCACCCAGTGGCGTAACTAAGTAGGTGCCAAAGGTGCCACGGCACCGCACTCTGAAGGCGGGAGGGCGCGCCAGAGGTGCTGAAGTACCGAGCGCACTAAGTCGGGATGGGCAGTACGTGATGTACCGTATAGGTCAGTCATAAAAGACAAGAACGGCAGTTAAATTCTAATAGTTTGCTAAAGTCGACTACAGGGTGCGCTGAAATCGAGGCTGAAATATAATGAAAACTAAATTTACGCTCCTTTAGGATGAACGGAACATTGTTAAAAAATTTAAAAAATTATCAAAGTCACCGTGTGAGATCCAAGGCATTTTTGTGTGGCAGATCAGTACTTTTATTAGCCAGTTTTGACTCCACAATCAATAAGATCTTGTCGGGGGCTACCATATTCCCTTTGTCGGTACCCACTTCTGACGCCCCCACAGTCGGCGGATGTATACAAAGTTTGAATCAAAACACTTGTACCACGCTATGTTAAGTACCTCAATATGAATGGCGACTATGTTGAAAAACAGCCTAAGAGTGTATATAATTAACAGTTGTTTCTTACACTTTCTTAATTTTTTATTTCAAAACGTCTGTTACTTTCTGGATAGCCCTTGTAGAACAAAGTTACAGCGGTAGGAAAAGGCTGCAGATTTAAACTAATAATAATAATAATACTTTATTTGTGATATATACAATAGTCTGTATTAGTGTGACCAGTATTTGCACCCCTATTCTAAGACGCAATCATTTCTACGACTTGTACCCCATGCCCTCGCCCATGCCATAGATAAATTTGACGCGAGAATTGAAAACATTATAAATAAATGTATTTCTATTCTTCTTTGAGTGAAAGACTTCGTTATTCAAAGCATTTTTCTAAAATTTAAGTAGTGCAGTGCTTTTAAAATTTTGTGTAAAGTTTCTATCAAAAATGGACAGTGTTTTATTAATTAGAGCTCGATGGTAAGTGATAAGGCACCAAACCTGATCCGGCACCGCTTTGAAAAATACCTAGTTACGCCACCCTGTCAAACGGGCAGTAAGTGATTGTCAATTTTTCTGAAGATACTTATTTTCAATGTGAATAGCCTAATAAATGTTAGAATGTGAAAGTTTTTTTCTAAAGGTGCTATACGAGGTGCTATATGAATTTTTTTATACTTTCGGGGTAGATTTCGCCCCAGACGGAGTGGGAGCGAATACGTGGATCTTCGTGTATTCGCTGACTGCACCAATCGTCTAGGACCAGATTATGAATTTTTTTATACTCTGGGGGTAGATTTCACCCTGTCAGACGAGCAAGATAAAAGTGGAGTGACTTCTTTGAATCCTCCAAGAGACTGGAGGAGTTCGTCGATAGCCTCCTACGGCAGCGAACATCCAAGACCGCGGAGGATACAGCGGATCTTAGTGGACGGTGTGTGATTTTGACCTTTTGTCCAAGGGAGCAATATGCATTTTTTAATACTTTGGGGGTAGATTGCACCCTGTCAGCCGGGCAGTAGGTGATTGTCAATTTTTCTGGAGATACTTATTGTCAATGCGAATAGCCTAATAAATGTTAGAATGTGGAGCGTGCTACATGAATTTTTCTTAGGGCATTTTTTAGGAATAAAAAAAATGTGCTATTGTCCGTCCGTCTGTCCGGACCCACTTCTGCCGTTTCGAACTACTTCTAGGTGAATGGTCCTAGAGCCCTGGAATTTTTAGCAGTAGGTAGCCTATATCTTGAAGGTGTGTCAGACGGCCATCAAATTTCGCTGTCTAAAAGGGCCCCACCCCCCACGAATTAATTCCTGAGATGCTGATTTTGAAAGTCAAACGTGCATAACTTTTACATACGACAACCAATTGGTCTCAGATTTTGCATACGCATGGCTTTAGTGGTGCCAAGTTAAACTTTACAAAATGGGGGGGGGGGGGGGGGGGGTAAACACATGTTCTGTTAAATCAACACATACAAATCATGTAAAATCTGCATGCAAAGAATTGTGACATAAAGCATATGATGATTCCTTCGAGAGAAAACCTTTGCAGCCGACCGACCAACCAACCAAAGTGAATATAGAAGCGCCACTTTTTTTCAAAAACGAGCTAAAAATTCATAGCATCCCTACCATTTCATATTCTACTTCCGACTACAAGTCTGTATTAACATAAACTAAAAGTTCCCTAAGCGGCATTGATCTAAAATGAGGTTGACGGGTTGAAACTGGGGTGAGAAAAAAATTCGTTTTCACCCATTTATCCAAAATGACAAACC